TGATATGGGGCTCAGAAGCCTGCACTCCCAGATCCTTTTTTTTTTTTTTGGTACCCGGAATTGAACTCAGGACCTTGCTCTTGCGAGGCAGGTGGCGGCAGCACTGAGCTAAATCCCTGGCTCCCCAGATCATTTTGATGTGGGTGGTATGGAAAAATGGTCTCAGCTTAGAAGGCATTGAAGGGGCCTCCCTACCTGGCTGCTTCACTGGTATCTAAGTGGCATCTAAGCCCAAATCCAGTTTTATAACCACTTCTGGTTTGGTCTTTTAAGTCACTGTCTAGGGCTTATGTATCCCCAACATTATCCTGAAATCCAAAGTGGCAGGATCTGGCCAGGCTGGAAATGGAAGCTATGGAAGAGAAGAGAAGCCATAAGCTGGAGAATCAGGGAGTGGAAGGATGCCACGGGGCCACCAGCCAGTGTGAGGACAGAAAACCCATACTCCCAGGTGGAGGGAAGCTTACAGACATGGAAAGCACTGAGGGACAGGGAAGGGAAGTAACTCGGGGCTGCTGGAGATCCCAGCCCAAACATGAGAACACAGCCTGGTGCCCCAGCAGAGATGCTGAGGACAGTGTGGGTGCCCCAGCAGCGAGCAAGCCCAGGACCCTAAGGGCGAGGTGTCCAGGGGTCCAGGGACAATCACTGTGTTATCTGTTCTAGACTCAGTGCACAGCTCCTTGAAACCAACTCAAACCAAATAACCACCTGAGGCCTTTGAAATACTAAGACATTTTAAAGGAGCTGAAAGTTGCCACCCTAACTTAATCATCAGGACCCCCAAGTCTAGAATTGAAAAGGGCAGAAGGTACATTTTGTGAGCCACTATCACATACAGACACAAAAGGCAACATCTTATAAATATAAATGCTAAGGGTGATTGTGTTTGCCAAATGTGCAGGCTGCATATTCTCGAACTGTTTGACTTCTACTTAAACTGGTTTTAGGGCAGAGCAGCCAAAGCACATCCTAGAATATTACATGGTTTTAAATGTCACTTCATGGTTAAGTACTACTGGTAGGTTTTCTAAATTACTCTTAGTTTTTCTTCATGGTAGATCAATTATCAACTCACCAACTCTAATCATGGCGCTATATTTGAAACTAGTTACTCAAATTATCAATGTACCAAGTAAACACAGTGGAAAACTAAGGTGACTACCTGTACATATACTCACAGGACAGCACTGTTGTGTTCTGGCAAACAAATGTCTAGGTGCCTGCTCGCCAAAGAGAGTATTCTTTAAGACAAAATTCTGTCATCAAAGTCCCTATTGGACACATCTACAAGTTACCCACACTCCAAATTAAAGACACATGTCAACACCTCTGTGTTACTACTGACTTTACGGAATACAAAGTTACAGTACAGGCTGGACGTGGTGGTGCATACCTGTAATCCTAATATTCAGAAGGCTGAGGCAGGAAAATCACTATGAGCTGGAGGTGACCCTGGCCTCCACAGTGAGTTCAAGACCATCTCAAACTACATAGTGAGATCCTGTTTCAAAAAAAACCAAAAGAAAAAAAATTACAGTACAGTAGAAGGGGCTTTTAACAATGTGAACTCCTTCCCGTGCATAGCTAAGAGAATCAGGTAGTGAGGACATCAAGCAGTGGTTTTCAAACTTTTGGAGAGTGGAATCTTCTTTCCCAACAAACCCCAACAATGAAAGGTAAGAATTTCAGGGGTGGGTGATGTGCTTCAGTGGTAGAGGATTTCCTTAACATGTGTGAGGCCCTGGGTTCCATTCCCAGTGTGGCTAAATAAGGTAGTATTTTATTTGTATAGATCTATTTTTGAATTTAAATGTATAGTGTTTGGTGAAAAGAAGAGGTTGTTTGAACATAAAAGTTGAGGCTGACATTTGGTTGTAACAGTCTCAATTTTCCAATTACTCGTGTGCTTGGTTTTGTTTGCACACATTAGAGAACATTCTGATTCACAGAAATAAAGACATGCTGATAATGAGTGTTCTACCTTGTACCATGCAATCTTTGGATACCACTTAGTTAAGGAAAGATATCACAAGCTTTATTGCAGAAGTCTATAAAAACAAGATCATCTGGCAGAAAAAAATCCTGGTCATCTGCTATGATTTGGCTTTCAACACCAGTCTGCGTTTAAAACATTTAAAAAACATTTTAAAAAATCCATTACATCAAGTATTTATTAATGAGACTTGGCACTAGGACTAACCTATTCCAAACCAACTCTCTACAGATAATATTTATAATCTGGACCAAATACATAACTACTGAAAGTATTGGGCAAAAATCAAAAACAGACACTAGAGGGGAAATGATGCTTGGAAAAGGAAAAAATTTCAGTGCCTTTCCTGATTTTTAACTGGTTTTTGCCTGGGGGTGGGCCCCATCCTGCCAAGCAGGACTAAGCTTGAATGGAAAATCTGCAGTCTTGTTGGCTTAACCCACATGGTTAATGGCTTAAAAAATAAGAGAACCAAGCTTAAAGTGACCAAAACAAAAAGTGAAGGAGGAACTTAGGAGAGCTAAAGAGGAGATATAAAGATTGTGCAAAACCTTGTTAAATCCAACTTTAAGCAGCCTGGCTAAGGCTAAAAGAACTTGCGAAGTTGCTGTTGTAATCCACTACTTGAGGGTGTAGATACAAAGAGTGGGGAGTTTAGTACTGGCCTTGTTAACTTACTTCCTTAAAAGTAGTACTTTCAGGAAGAATCTAACAAAATCCAGAATCTCTAAAAAATGTATCACAGTTAGTTCTGGATACAATCTAAACCCCACCAGGAATACACTCAAGAGAAAAAGCAATTAACAGAAATTGATCCTGAAAAATGCAGATGCTGGAATTAATGGACAAGGATTTTTTTTTTTTTTTTTTTTTCAATTCGGGACCTTGCACTTGCAAAGCAGGCTGCGGAACCACTGAGCTAAATCCCTGGCCCCTGGACAAGGATTTTTAAAGAGCTAGTTTGTGCTCAAAGATGTAAAGGAAAACAGGCTTATAATAACAAATAGGAAATCTCAGCAGAGGGAAAAAAAACTTATAAAAAAGGACCAGTAAGAAATTCTACTAGATGGGAAAAATACAATCTCTGAAATAAAAAATTTACTATATGGGATTAAAAGCACACTATAGATGACAGAACAGTCAATGAACTTGAAAACAGATTAATAAAAATTTCTAATCTGCAGAATAGGAAGAAATAGATGTTTTAAATTGAGAGTGTTGGGCCGGGGATTTAGCTCAGTGGTTTCGCCACCTGCTGCGCAAGTGCAAGGACCTGAGTTCGATCCCCAGTACCAAAAAAAATAAATTTAAAAACAAATTGAGAGTGTCAAGGCCTTGGGCCAATATGAAAAGGTTGAATATATGTACAATAGGAGTTATTAAAAAGGAGAATGGAGTTAAGACATACATTTACAGATTGAAGCTCAGTGAACTCTAAGCAAGATCAATTCACAGAAAATCACATTTAAGGATGTGGAATAACATTGCTAGTGTATAGCCTCTTTGCAAACAAACGACAAAAAAAGTCTGGCTGTTCTTATAAAACTCCTATGACACAGCAATCTTACTCTTAGGTATATATGTAAGATGTATGAATGCATATTCCCAGGAAAGACTTGTATAAATCTTACAAGAGAACAGATAAATCCATTGTGTTCCTACAGTGAAACACTACTCCATGATAAAAAAAGAATACAACTGTTTATACATGAAAGGACATTAACGAAATTTCAAAACCATGTTGAAAGCAGCCAGATGCAAAGGAGTACTGTCTTAGTCATGTTCTCTTAACTAAGATGCAATACCTGACAGCTACACCCTGAAGAAGAGGTGTATTTATCATGCTTTCAGTTCATAGCTGGGTAGCTCCAAGACAGGAACTGCATGGTGGAAGGGTATGGAGGAGGAAAGCTGCTGTTGTGGAGGCCAGGAAGCAAAGAATGAGGGTTGGAGCCAGGAAAGGAAATATACCCTTCCAGGTCACCTCAGGGACCTTCCTCTTCCCACCAGGCTCCACCCTTACATATGTTTATGCACATGAGTTCCTATCAGGCTTCAAGTACTTGTTGAAGAAACTTCTCTTTTCCTCTATAATGACAGCCAGTAAATCACTACGTACTGACACCTAGTAACCAGCAGACACTGCACTGGATAAACACAGTACCGAAGTTTACAGGAGGCCTGTGCCTACCTCACTGAGCTCAGTGTGGTGGGGACACACCCAAGTAATGATGAAGCCATGCACTGTAACAAATAATAATATTGAGGAAATACAGGCTATATGGTAAAATACTCCATAAAGGTGCAGACAATTTACTTGTTGTTTCAAAAGTAACTTGGAAACCCATTCATCCATCTAAATCATTTAACAGGCAGCTGCTTATCTTCCAGTAGATTGGACATCATGCTATGGCTCTCAGATACAAAGATGAGTAAGATCTGTCTGTCTGGAGCACGCAGACTGGTGGGAGGCTACAAAGAACCCCATACACCACGTGGTATGTGCCAGGATATACACAGCATGCCTCAGTGCTCAAATACAGCCATCACAGGAACCTCCACTCCACTCTGGCTTTCCGGATGTGGCCCCACACCTACCCATGCAGTCTGGGCTCCTACTACAGCTCACATGAAATACTGCCCCAGGGCTGGGTTTCTGTATCTAGCATGAGCCCCCGGTGAGCAACCTGACCTCATCCTGGTTTTGTCATACATGAAACAGACTGCATACCTTAAAAGACTGCTTTAAGGAGTAAGTGAAACTTAAGCATTACTAAATACTGTTATCAAAATGACATATGGCTGAGATCCTCTGTGCGCTTCTCACTACCTCAGGACTTCCATGAGACACTTACCCAAAGAAAGTAGTTTCAACTCTTGGTCACACAAACATTATGGAGAAAGTTAAGTAGCAACCAGGAAAGGGCTAAGTGAAAATTCCACCCAACTCCCAAATTCTCCCCTAAGAGTCCAGCACACAACACTATGATGAATAAGCAGAACCTTTTAAGGTTAAAAGTGTGATTTTATTTAGATGTTACTTGTACATAATCTATAGTGAGATATACAAACAGATAAAAATTGTTTGACAGAAGTTTTAATACTACTTTCAATTTACAATAGCATTGATAATACTGCAAGATGACAGATACTCTACTTTATAAAACAAAAATTATTTGCTTCTCTGGTTGATACATTCCCACTAATCTTTAATGGATTAAAATGTATCATGTATTTCAGTTGCAAATTATTATAAAACTTTTATAACCTAGACACTTGGTACTCATAAAAGATGCTGATGTTGCTAAAAATTTACTGAAATGAAAACATTAATTCTCTAGTAGTATCCTTAGTAAGAACATGAGCTACCAAATCTCACGGTTGGGGCTAACAATGCACAATCATTTGCCTTTGGCTAAGCCCCACGGTACTTGTGTAGCAATGCATGGACTCAGTCATCTTTCCATCCTTCTGTCTGGGTCTACACCGTGAGAAAAAAGCTTGTAAGACAGCCAACTAAAATATACACAAGAAGTAAAATTGGGAATAATTTATAATTGTGTTTAAAACCTGGAATTTATGAAGTGAAATGTGCTGCTAAATGATTTTCTCCATTTGTTTTGGTAAATACTTTTCGAAAATGAAAACTGAAAATTCAGATTTCACTTTGTTCATGGAATATCATGCTAGATCTGAATTTAAAATTTTAGACTAAATCAAATTTGTTGAAAAGATACTCTAAAAATAATTTAAATTTGTTATTTCCCACTATATTAAAGGTTACAGAAAAAACAGGGCAGAGCTTTCTCACTAGTCATAAAATTAAATTAAATATAACTTGTTGATTAAACAAAAGGACAACTAGTAATTAACAGGCTTATGAATATTTATGATAAAGTGCCGCTAATTTTACTGTAATAGGATATAAATAGAAGAAATCCTGACATAGACAGTAGTTTTAATGTGTTCCCTTCATCCTGAGAACAAAGGGCCACACAAAACAAAGAAGTGCTGCTAAATGAGCCCTAAAATTATTCAGGGCACTCCTGACATAAAAGTAATACAAAGGCCAACTATTATACTAAGGAGAAAATAAGACTGAAAATGGTCAGAGACCCAAGAATAATGCCAACATACCAGGTCTCCACATTGGAAGAAAGAGAGAGAGATTTAAGTTTACTAATAACAATATTCAAGGAAATTATAGTGACAGCTCAGTGGTGACCAGCTCCAGAGCGAGGTGCTCAGGGGGGCAGGTGCTGGCAGCAGGCGGAGCAGAGAAGGCTCAGATATGGCCAAATAGACTCTTGGAAGAGAATGCAGACATTGAGCTTTTTAGTTTCAAATCTAGTGACTAGAGTCCAGCACACAGGAGGGTGCCTAAACAGACACCCCAAGTCAACAGGTGTCCATGTAGAGACACACAGGGGTGAGGCATGGGCAGCTGGCTGGTCTCCCCAGAACTCTCCCTACTGTCCTGCTGACATTAACCCAGTCTGCTGGAGCTCACAGGAGATTCCTAGACCTGCATCCACTGGCAACACTGCAGGCTGGTTAGGCACTTCTCACCAAATGATGTGCCTCAGCACACTTCAATCTCCTATCTGCAGTCCAAGCCTGGGCAATTACTTTCTCTAAACAAGCAGTTACCTTCCATCCAGAATTACAAAGCAGAAGGTGTGCTTCTTTATTCCCTGGTCTGCCTGAGGGGGTCTGTGGGATCACCACGTGGCAAGAAAAACAGGGCAGAAGAGGTGAAAGCAAGGTGCTTAGCCACAGATACAGGTTGAAACAGGGTCATCTGCTGAGGTACATTTAAAATGCAATGTGCCAACAATACGAGAGATGAGAGGCATATGCTTCTAGGATGGAGGGAAGGCCCTGCTCACAGGGCTGACCCCTGGTCTGGCCACAGCACTGTGAAAAGAGCAGAGCTATCATCTTTCACCTAAACCTAAGCTTCTGTAATTTGGACCTAGTGGAGCGGGCTCCTCTGCACCCAGGGCCCGTAATGCCACTCTGCCCAGCTGGGTGCCACAGCCCCCACACAGCCTGCATCTGTTCTGGCTGGCTGCTGCCCAAGCCATCAGGTCTGGCCAATATTGTAAGCGGCACTGCAATGGCCCTGAAGGGGAAAGGACCTTGTTCTCATTTACATTACTACTGAGTTGCTGAAAGCTCACAAAAATCACCAACAAGTATTTACTAAGTGAACTGAATGTCCACAGGGAAACCTACCTGAAAAGGGCTCTTCCAAATTGATATTTGATGAGTGAGTGCAAAGGCAAGGAAATTATTCAACCAAGCATTCAAATTCACTCAGAGGTGACCAAGCCAAGAAACTGAGTGCATGAACATTTGATTCTCCTGATCTGTTAAACCCTTCCCTTTAGAACCAATTTCTTCTGAAACACATTGTAATAAAGAAGAAAAAAGAAAGGTAAAACAGTATCACTGACTGATCGGAAGACATCACTCTGACACAGTCATTAATCTTGCAAGGACCTAACACCAGGCAGCTTCACAAACACACAGTAAGTCTACAGAATCATAATGATCAGTAGAGTAAAGTAAATACTTTTACAGCCAAAAGGGAAGCAAGATGCTGTTTTCCGGACAATGCAATAGTTACGGCATATCTCCTCATGTGCAGCATGATGTGCTATGTTTAGTGGCACTTAAGTATTACACAGTAAATACTGAAAAACCCAGAATTCTTGGATGTGCAGAAGCAAGATCACATTATTAATACAAAAGGTGCTAAGCTACAGGATTATAATACCACTATCTGGGTGCTGAGACCACTTGAAATCCCCAGTACACTTCCACAGTGTCCTGCTGTCCTCTGCCGCTCGCCCTGCACAGTCTCAGTCGGACCAGTCGTTCTCATCGAATTCAGAGTCGTCATCAGAGTCGCTGTACTCCACAGCAATGCGTCTGGATAGGATCGTGGCCACATCGTTCCCAACGGGCTCCCGCTTGGCTTCCTGCTCACGCTGCTCCTGCACCTTTTTCAGCTGGATTCCTAAGGATACAATGCGGAGTTAAGAATCAAACCCTTTTCTTTGGAACAAATAAAAGGAAAACAAATTAACAGGTCCACTGGACTTTTCTGCTGAGCCTAAGGTTAAAGTTTTAGAAATCTGAGGGGAGAAAAGAATGTGCAAGTCCATTTTAAGAAAGTTGGTTAAAACTGCAGTGCAATTTTATGATGAACCCCATCAAAGAAAGTTCTAAAGCCACAACATCCCATACGTTAGCCACTAGCTACTTTAAACACAAAGCAATGCGGTGAGGGGTCACCAAACAAGATGTGCCAACGTGGAATCAGAGCCCACTGAACAGTGCTGAGGGAAGTAGCTGAAGAATCTCTATTTCAGTCATTTTTGTTGGGAATGGGTATAAAATATAACCACCTATCTACTATGTAGTGACAAGGATATCTGATGACTTAATGTGTATAATTTTTTAACTTTTTCTTTGAAATAATCTCAGATTTACCGAACAGCTATAAGATCAACAGAAAAACATTCCCATATAACCTTACCCAGATTCTCTGACTAATGTTTTCCTGTCTTTGTCTGTCATCCTCACACAGACCCACTTATCTCTAGATTATGTGAAATATACAGCACGTTCCTTCACCCCCCAAACATATGAAGTGCTAATTTCCTTTAAAAAAAAATCAAGATCAGAAAATCTGCATAGACACAATGCCATTATTAATCTTACAAATATTATTCAAGTTTTGTCAATATAGTAAGTCCCCAACTTACGAACCAGTTTCATTCTGGGAGAACATTCATAAGCTGGATTCTTTTTAAGTCTGACAAAGTAAGTCTTATACATTTTTGACATAAATATATAATGTAAAGCATAAAAAAATCAAACCTCTCCATCACCACTGCTTTTCCTCTTGCTCAAGATCCTGGGCTCTGAGCACTGTACAACTGTACACTATTGCACTGTACAGTAAGCACCTAGCAGCACAACTGTGACAATGTCCGGCAGACTCATGAGCTACATCCGAGCCTTGTTTGCATCTATGAATGTTCATAATGTAAGGTCCATTTGTATCTGTGAAAGTTCAAAACTTGAATGCTCATAAGTCAGGGACTTACTGTAAACGCAATCTAACTGCAAACGCAGGAAAATTTCACTGGCTCAGGATTCAATGAGTTATCTCTGTTGTATTAATTATTACTGTGATCATTAATCCTCCTATGTCAACCTCACCGGATTAAGAAATGCCAAGCAGATGAACAGACTACACTTCTGGGTGTGTCTGGGGGAGTCATGGAGGTGAGGCCTTGGGGGTCTGTCTGGTCCCTGCTCCTTCTGCTCTGGCCCTCTTCCCCTGCTCTGAACCGTGTTGAACTAAACAGCTTTGCTCCACCATGCCCTTCTACCATGTCTCTGCCTTGAAGCCAGTCAATCATGGACTGAAACCTCTCTTCCTATACACTGCAGGTGTTGGGTATTGTGTCTCAGTAATGAGAAAGCTGAATAATAAAGACAGTTGGTACCACTCGGGTAACTGCTGTGACCACAGCTGCCCACACGGTTTAGAAGCCTTCGGAACTGTTTTGTGGGAGGAGTCTAGAAAGGTGTGGAGTTGTGGGCTAGAGAGGCCCTTCAAGGTTACAAGCAGAGCCTCACAGGGATTCCAGTAGAATTTAGGAGACCAGAATGTTGATAGGGATGTGGATAGCAAAGGCCAGACCCAGGAAGTTTCGGCTGGGAACATGGACTCTATTGGCAGTTGGACTAGAGCCCATGTTATGTTAGGCTTTCACAGAAAATTACATTTTTTCCAAGTCCTGAGATTGTGAGAGATTAAGACAAAGGATGGTAGCCTTGTTAATCTAGTGGAGGAAACAGCCTAACATTTAGGCTGTGGCATAGATATTGCTGGCTGTATTTAGCCAGATTCACAGTGAGGACTGGGAACAAAAGGCAGAGCATAAAACTTTTTAAAACTTAAAATTTTGGCCCAGATGGAACCAGAAGAAATTATGAACTTGCTATTCTCTTTACTTGGAGATTAAATATGGTTTAAGGAGATCTGTGGGTGTGAAAATGACAACGTGTAATTGTGACTCTTAATTCTAATATGTCAACTTCACTGGATTAAGAAACATCTAGCAGATTAATAGAACATACCATACTCCTGTTGTGTCTGGATGGGTCATGGAGGCACGGTGTTGGGTACCATAAATGGTGCCTCAGCTGGTTCTGATACTGTTCCCTGCTCTGCTCCAGGACACAATGAACTAAGGAGCTTTACACATCACCTTGCCCTTCCTCCATGAAGTTCCTGCCCTGGAGCCAGCTGACTACAGACTGAATCCCCTCAAACAGTGAGCTAAATTAAACCTTTCCTCCTTAAGTTGGAAGTGTTAGGTATCATGTCCAGCAACAGGGAAGCTGACTAATACAATCATGTTCTGCTAACCTCCTTTGATCCAGATAGTTCTTCAGCCTTTGTAGTCTATGACCATCACATTTTGCAGAACAGAGGCAGTCTGTATGTAGCATGTGTCTCAGCTTATGTGCATCAGGCATTCCAAGATTGTTCCTGATTATGTGTCAACTCGTAATGGACAGTGCTACAGGTATAAAAATACCAAGTCTAACACTGTCCTATGGTGACTACAAAGCTGAAATCTCTAAGCTTTTCTACCGCTGAGATGTTATTTCTTGACAAAATCAAAGCATCAATGATGATCGAGATACATAGAGAACCCTGAGGTCTTTGGGTGGTGCATGTCCCTGACCTCAGGTTTGACTGATGGATGCTTAAGCGAAAAGGCACAAGCAGCAACATCACAGTTGTCCTGTGAATGATGTCACCGAAGCTGAGCTCTCGGGGCTGCAACAGGCATTTTTCTCTGTCACTTATAGATAACTAAACTAAGATCAAAAGACTGAGACTTTCTCCCTCATGAAAAGCTCTTAGCATATCCCTATATCCTGTCAGTGACCTTGACCATGCCACACCGACAAAGGAAGAATTAACTGTGGGGTTTTAGGTTTTCATGTGGGGCCCTGGAGAGAGGCAGAAATGGGTGAGGAGTCAGGTCTCCTACCCAATTCTACCCGATATACTCCATCCCTCTGTTTTGGGACCTGCGGGTCAGGGTAGCACTTTTGTCTGACAAAAGCACTGTGCTGTTAAATAAATGCTGAAGAGGTATCTTTAGATTTTCTTTAAAAAACTAAGTCACTGATATGAACTCATTTTCTGTATTTATGTTTATAGCCTTGCAGTAGAATATGGAGATAAGATCCTATTAATTAGCGGATCACTTCTGTTATTTAAAGTAAAGTTTTCCTGAATTTTTTAATTCAATTTCTGAATTATCAATTCTTCATCATGATGTTTAACTGACATCTAAAAAAGAAAACCCTTTTTTTTTTTTTTAAAAAAAAAAAAGGCTCTTTTAAGTCTCCTCCAAAAAATTATTAGAGAGCCATCATTCGAAGGCAACATGGCCATAGCTATTTCCAGACTCAAAGTAATCTTTTTTTTTTTTTTGGTACTGGGCATCGAACTCGGGACCTTGTGCTTCCAAGGCAGGCACAGTGCCACTGAGCTAAAAATCTCCGGCCCCCCAAAGTAATCTTTTTATAAAAGGAAGACTATGGAGCTGAGGTGTCCACTCACCCATCCGAATGGCAGCAAGGAGGTCACTTCGAGCATCACTTATGGGTGGCTGTGCAGGCTCTGGACGTTTTGCCTCGGCAACAGGGGGTCCATGCATTGGGGAGGATGAAAGAGAAGAGACAGGGCCAGGAGGGCCTGGGGGGGGTGGGGGAGGGCCTGGGGGAGGGGGCGCTGTGACCAGGAGCCCAGCAGAGGGGGGGTGAGGAGCAGTCGAGTACGTGGAGCCAGCTGATGCAGGAAAGGAAGGTTGTGCAGGGATCTGGAGAGGGCTGACAAAAGCAGTTTGGGCTGAAGGAATCATGGGTGGAGGGGGAGGAGGTGGTGGTCCTGAAGGGTTGTAATATTCAATTATCTGTGCTGGAAGCATCCTAATAAACAGATGAAACATACAAAGTCACCAGAAGTAGAAAAGACAGTCACATCCCTAAGTTCTAAAAGAGAAGTTCCCCCAAAACAGTAGATACTGCGAGCTGGACTGAAATCACTGCAGGAAGCACATATCTACTCTGCAGCCAAGTACTTTCACAGACCTACATTATTCATTATGATGGGATGCAAGTTCCGTTGATGTGCATCCAAAAAGACCACTCAAAAAATAAAGCCATTTTCTGTGGAATGCTAAAATAAGGAACTTGGCTGCAGAAGTCCAAATAGCAACAATAACCATTCTGTATCCTGGGTGTCTCAGAGGTGGGGATCACTAACCTATCTCTTGAGTTTTCTGTGGCCAAACTGGAAAAATCCTACATTCTGTAGCCAACTCCCATGAAAGTCCAAGTTCATAGTGCCCACAGAATACCCAAAGCTTTGAAGTATTCCACAGCCAAGAAATCAGCTAGATTCTATTCCACCAAGGGTTCTTCCAGCCAACTGAACCACAGACCTTTCTGTCTCTGGACACCTTCAGGGTGTCCTGGCTTCACTAGGGCCAATGGATGGGGACAGCCAGGACTATGTGAATGCCCCTATGAAGGCCACAGATATGCTTTTAGAGAGCAACACCAATGCTCTAAAGAATACGCATTACTGGAAGCATGTATTCAACTTTCCTGAACACCAATTCTCAGAAAAGGAACCCTCAAAAAGCTAGGGTATAGCCAAAAAGTAAAGGTAATCAAAGTAAAGGTGAGTGCTCAGGTTGACAAATGTGCAAAGGGAAGTCCTTTGTAAGAGGTGTTGGAATCCTACCCACAAGACAGAAACAGAGGCCTTGGAACCAAACAGTGTGAGGGCCCAGAGGTTAAGAAGGGCCAAACAAAAGTGACATTATATGGTTTTGTCATCTGTGACAAGCACTGTCTGTGGTTCACTCAGGACATACAGGGAAATCTGAGGGTTTGAAACAGTTCACCAGTCAGCATTCATCATTTACCAATGACTTGGCCTGAAGACTCAAACACATGTAGCCTACATGCAAAAAGAGTGTGACGTCAATCCCAGATATAGCTGTAAAAAGAAAGGGTCAGCAGTGTGACACCACATTTACTTAACCCCAAGTATGTCACCACTGGTGGCGTCTATGTTCAATTGCTCTTGACTATACTTGGGCACCATACCAGGAGCATGTACTCAATTTCCTTGGACACTGGGTCCAAGGGAAGAACATTTAAAAACTAAGCCAAGGTGGGGAGGGTAATCTATTAAAATAAAGGGGAGCACTTTTTAAGTTCTACCACACAAAGCAAGATTCAACTGCAAGAATGAGTAGTAGGTAGAGTCTGAGGAAGAGCAATTTACCCATAATCTGCTGGAGCCATTGGTGCAGAGGCCTGAGACCCCTCGGGGGCCTGGGGAGGAGGTGGTGGTGGTGGCGGCGGCTGTTGAGGTCTATTTAGGGCCATGTGCCTCGACGAGGCAGATGTGGGCCGGTACTCGTGCTCAGGGGCCTGGTTTGCAGCCCCATGCGGTGGTACATCGCCAGTAGGATAGGAAGGGGTCACCGGCTGGGGGTGCAGAGAATGGTTGGGGGTAGCCGGGTAAGAGTAATCCGTAACATCTGAAGCATGGGACCTGATGTTGGAGAAAATCAGTGGGAGAAATTTAAATTATGTTTTAAAAATGTTCTCTAACAGATAAAAGCATATATATGAATAATTACAATACCAATGCACAGAAATAAAGTATGTATTTCCTTTACCATCAACTAGGTCTAGCCCCATGAGAGCTTCTGAGCAACAACATAATTACTATTTTAGCAGCAAGCCCAGTGTTACATGGATTCAGATTCAAGCTCTGAAGTGAGTAAGTCAGACAGATCAGCAAGAAGGAGGGAACAGAGCCTCGTTTTCACAGTATTTCATGTACTTCCTAAGAGACAAGGCTACAAGGCAAACCCCATTTCATGTGGAAACAGTACGAGACAGAGGATTTCAGTGGCAAGGGAACTGACAGCATATAATTAGGAAACTCAGAATGAAAGGTAAGCTGGATAAATATGAACAGTAAGGACAGGAAGAAAAATCCAGAATGCAAGAGTGGACTGTCTTCTTCTTAAACAGAAGGCATGTATTTAACCCACAGAGAAAGAAGCAATATGATGCACCACGGAAAGGCCCTCTTATTTTCTCTGAACACATAGTCAAGTGTGAAACTGAAAGCAACAGAAACCTCGAATTAGTGAGCTGAGAGGGGAAAGGTTCCAGTGCCCAGAGGAGAGCAATGATCTGTAGGTGTGGCAGCCTTGTGGCCACGCAGGCATTAGTAACAGTCACACGCAGAGGCTGGGTTACGTAATCAAGTCTGTAGGGCTGCACATGCCTCATGGCGCTGAAGCAGGATGACCTGGGGCTGGGAGTCCAAAGAAAGCAAAACCACGAACCCTCTGGGCAGCCTGTCCTCTTTTGTGCTCCCTGCCTGCTCCAGCTTCTTTGCGTCATTCATAAATTCAATGCCCATTTTCCTTCTCTCCCACTCTTCTTTTCTTGTTCTGACTTTTCTCACATGCACTTGCTGGTTCCTGTTAGGATTCATCTTGTGTTTCTCCCTCTGAAGGAAACAGGCAGACACATTGGGAATGTGGGAGCGAGCAGCAAAGAAGGTACAAATTGAAGTTCCATCTCTGGCATTTAAGACAGTGGCTTCCCTAACTGCAGTGCTGAGGGGCACAGAAAAGCTTACTAAGTCAGAAGAGCCTGCTTTCTTGCCTTCTTTCCCTAATTACAGTATAATAGTAAATAATTACCCATTTTTTCTTCCCTAATTGTGCTTATGAATTCTATATTATGGTGTTCATATGAGGATATCTTCTGAATCTGCAAGTTGCTATCAAATTTTAAAATACATAATATATATAAATAAAAATTTGGCCCTGCTGATGGGAACCCAGGGCCTGTGCATGGCTAAGGAATAGCTCTGGTGCTAAGCTACATCCACAGCCCACAAAAAAGTATTTTTAGACTGGGTCTCACTAAGTTGCCCAGGTTGGCCTCAAACTGGTAATCATCGTACCTCCACCTTCCTAGCAAGTGGGATGACACACTATGTGCCACACCTAGGTGAGTTACAAATATTTTTAATGAGAGAAGAATCTGACCTGTATTTACATTTAGTATATTTTGAAAAAACAAATACCTAAAATTCCAGGGTCACTGAAGACAAGTGCTTGCCTCTAACTGTGTAACTGTGCCGGTGGCTGTGTGCTACTTTTTTTTTTTTAGAAGGAAACAGTTATCCAGGAAAACATGGAGAGCCTCTGAGGAGATGCAGGGCAAGAATTATAAATCCTGTGGCACAACAGGAAGTGCCATCCTTGTGAAGTGGCTCTATGACACAGACACAAAAGCAGTCAAGAAAAGGGGGATAACCAGACAGAGGCCAAAGCAAAGGTAGAGGCAACAAACATGAAAGAGAAACAAAGGTGGAAGGTTTCCACGGGGCAGGGCTTTGGTGGTGAAAGGCAGCCGCCATGAGGACAGGCAGGAGGAGCAGAGGGGCCTGGTCAGCTGAAGAGGGAAGAACCTGAGGACAAAGAATTGGCAGCAGCAGGGGGAGTGGGAGAAGCAGCAGAGCACTGCTGGAAGATGGACTCGGGTGAGAAGGTGGCCACCAGCCATAGCCAGCACCCCAGGAAGGGAAGCAGAGTGGTCCTGGAGCTCAGTGATGACTGGTAGCCATCTGTGGCAGAAAAGAGAAGGCCCAAGTGAAAACGGTAATGAAACACAAAGAAGTCAGCTCCACAGTGGAGATTCAGTGGGAGAACGTAACAAACCCGAAGGGCTCTGGGGCAGACAGGCAGGCAGGGTGGGAGCGCTGCAACAGGACGAGGGAAAACAGACAGCTGGGCACAAGATGCGATGCTTCCTGGGCACACTGAAAGAGAGCTGGTTATCCGGGAAGAAGCATGTCAGTAATTCGCATTTCAAATTCACACTCAAAAGCAAACCATGCCTCGTATTCTGTAGTGAGGGCAAAAATTTAAGATTAGTTTTTGTGGACTGAGTTAAAGTATATCACATATATGGATGGCATGAAACTTGCTATTAAACTTCCCTCAGTTTTGGGCAATACATTTAAATGATAGAACATAAGCATTAAAAATCATGTTTTTAAATAATACCTAAAACATATATTTTTTTTAAAGTCAAAGGAAACATACATCATGATTCCAATTTTATAGAAGAAAAAACATGCACATGTACAGAAAAAGACAAACAACAGACATTAAAATCCAAACAGTGGTTTCCCTGGCTGATAAAATCATGGACATTTAATTTGTCTGTAATTTACAGACATAAAATTATCTTATTTTATAAGAAAAAAGTCACACACTTTAGTAAAATAAAAAATAAAACTTTCTAAATTAATTTAAAGGATATAATCCAAGTACAATGATGTTTGTACAGATAAACTACTTATCTGTTAGTAATGACACATGTAATAGTGTGAGAACATGGGAAATAGTAGACAAAAGACAATGCTTAAGAATTAAAACATAAAATTCTATTCACTTTTTGAAAATTCAGAGAAATGAAGACATAGCTAAAGAACATAAATAGGCAAAATACTAAATAATTCAAATGACCATCAACTTTATGCACAATATGGAGCAATCTAACCTAAACCATGGAGTAAGAATCAATTAACCAAGGGATTTAAAATATCTATTTTCCATTTGCATCCGTTAAAAAAGGATATATATGAGATAAAAATAGAGCACATATTTTTGCATGAGTAAACAATCATGATTAAATAATCTGTCAAAACAAGAGAGTAAATTCACATCAATGGAAATTATTAAATTCATATAGCCTTCCCCATCCCAAGAAGTAAGCAAAATGGTATCATCAATCTTACTTTCTAGAGAAATAAACTGACATTAAAATTCAAACATGTGGCTAGAACTGAGTTAAAACTCCGATGATAATAGCTGTACAGGTAAATTACCTACCACCTGCCTCATCAAATCCGCCCAATGACTTAGACCTACTCAAGCAAGACCATCTAAACCCTGTAACTACTAAGTAAGTCCCTCAGCAAATATTTCCCACACAAGTTCTCTGTTCAAAGAGATGGCGGAAGGGAGAGAGGGAAGGGATGCAAAAGGAATTATGATGTGTTATGTATCAACTCCCCGCAATGAATATAATTATTTTATACTATAAACATGTACTAATAAAAATGGAACTTAAAAAAAAGAATTCTGTTCAAATTTTTAAATGCCGAAGACTTTGAGACTTTACAGAAATAGAAGACTGTAGCTTTACAAAATCAGAAAGAGGACATTAAAACAAGTAAAAATTGATGAGTGAGTTCTTTTTGTCCAATGAATCCCTTTTGCGAAAAATGTGACTTCGTGACCATATCATTTAACTGCTAAGAAATTTTTACACACCGGAATTCATCTCCTGAAATTAGAATATATAAGATTATCAGAAGAAATCAATCTCTTTTGTTCATCATTTTTTAAAGGGTTATCAAAAAGAGCAGTGAAGGCATTCCTAAGTCACAGTAACCACCACCTATTATTTTTAGATAATGAATAACAAAAGGAAATTAAAAATTCCAAGCTAAAAGATTAAGTTATTAAAGTAAAAATTGAAGTCACGAGCAATTACCCCCAAAACACTACCTCTAGATTAACTGAAGAGTAAATTTAAGAGGGAGAAAAAAATCAGACAAAGCAACCCAATTAAAAACTACTCAAAATCAATATATAATTTTAAAGAAGAGTTTTGAAACCTATTGCAGGCCACGTCAACCCAGAACTGCTGGTGCCTTTCCAAGTTAGGGTAAAACCAGGCAGCTCACAGAGGCACGAGGCACCGGGGAAGGACTGTTGCACACACACACCTAGTGTCTGGGGACAGGGATCCCTCGGAAGACGCTCCGTGGTGCACACTCTGAGAGAACCTGTGGTCGGGTCTAAGCTCTTTGTCATAGGCCATCATGTTCCACTCCTGGCGCCTGTTTCTGGCTTTTCTAACCTTTTTCACCTCACGGGTGGCGCCATCTATACGTTTTTGCTCCTGATGTCCAGAAAGAAAAGAAAGCATGCCAAGACAGAAGGGAAAGGAAAACAGCAAGTTAGATGCAGTTATAATGCACAGGAAACAAGGCTGATGCGCACACAAGAGACGTTCACATTTCTACTACCTGTCAATAAGAACATTCAGGGCAGCAGGCCCCTCTCACCCACATGACCCAACAGAGACTCCCTGACACCAAGCTTGCATCCAAAGCTACTGTGCCACACAGTTACAAGAGCTGCTTACCATCATCTTTGGTCAAAGAGAGTTTCACTTTGCTAGGCTTGTAGCCTGTTTTAAATGTTCCCATCTTTTAGATCTGTATTACACACTGGAAATATGTGGCAATACCATTTAGAGAAAACAATCACAACTACACAATTCTGCCTAGCTTGTTAACATGTAATTATCTTTCAAGTTAAACTATTCAGGATGATCTAGCCCCAATTTATAAAAGATTATTACAGAATACTTAAACTTACCCTAAAATTAGCTTAACTCAAAACAAGATAAAAACTTACCTGCCCCACACAAGCCCATTCCTGATTATTTGACACCAAAAAATGTATTTTAATAAATACTCAGGTCCTATGTAGGTGCTTCTTTAGAGGCAAGGACAGCTATTTCTATGTGCATCTGTAAGTTCCTCCTGCTTCTCTCGTATGATTCTATGATCTTTAAGAACCAGGACTGCACCCTACTTCCCATGCTTCCCTCTTATGGCCTCAACATGTCTTATAGAGTTCACAATAAATGCTGGCTAAATGATCAAATCCACACCATGCTTCAATCATGAGCTTCTAGAACTGACTGAGTCCCAGGCAGTATGCCAGGCACTGGTGACACAAATGGCTAGCAGACAAAACAAAAATGACACCTTTTCTACCCTCATGGAGCTTACAGGCCCCAGGGGAAGCCTACAACATGATACATATAAATGAATTGTTCATTCAAGAATATGGTAAAACAGAAGTGTATTTATATTTTAAAATAATATTATACTTTTATATTTGCACATATTTATTATTTAAATATGCATGTGTGCACATACCAAATGCCATCTAAGTCTTGAAGTCAGAGAGGTCTCCTGCAGTGACTCAGAGACAGATCTGTAGCATGACTTGGCATTAGTTCTGCACACAGCATGGGTCACTGCATGACAAGAGGAGGGGACAGACTATGCCAAGGCTCTGAGGAGGAGGACATCACTGACTTTGGAGAAGTAAAAGAAGATAAATGGTAAATTGGGGCAAATGGCCCAAGATCTGAGGCAAGACTTTAAAAGGCCATGCTAAAAATTTTGCTCTTTATTTGATGAATAATGGGAAACTGTTAGAGAATAAAAAGGCAGGGATGGCATGGCAAGGAACCTTCTATGTTGTGGAGAACTGATTAAAAGAGGGGGGACACCAGTTAAAAAGCTACTAAGGTGGCAGAGGTAAGAAAACGGCAGATGACTCAAAGGTGAAGTAAACCAGAGAATAGAATGTTGTTAAAAATATTTGGGAGGCTTTGATAAGGGACCAGCAAAAAATGTGGACATGAAATACAAGGAAGATATAGAAATGGCCAATTAAGGGTATGAAAAGATGTGTAATGCAGATGAGATGGAGGGGTGTTCATCAAACAAACTAGCATTTGGAAAGGGGGAAGGCTGTTAGGAGTGTGAACTAGCTTTTTAGTCTTTTAAGGGTCATACACAATATGACAGTATCTTCCAAAATTTACAATTCACATTCTCTTCATTAACAGTAATTCAACTCTAGAAATTTATAAAAAAATTCTCTACACAAGTACAAGAAGAACCCACTACTCGAATTAGAAAAGCAATTTAAAAGTAACCTATATTTATGAATACAATAGGTAAAGAATTTAGGAGGTATTTGTACTTCAGATTATATAACTATTAAGAATGAAGTACATCTTTAACAATGTCTGTGTATGTCATGTGTATTTCAATTTTATGTATATAAAATACTCTGCTAAATGTGTGTGTGTACTCATGCATGCTTAAAAGGGCTGAAAGATTGCACACCCTACTGTGAACAGTTGCTGGGTGGGTGGGGCTTGCCTTTATTTCCTTCAGAGCAAGTTCAGCATTTTACACCAGCATATATTGTGTACATACTTTTAAAATCCAAAAGAAAAACTGTGGAGAGAGATTTCAATGTGATTCCAATATGTATCCTGATTAAGAGCTACTGTGTTAAAGAAATTAAAAACTATTACTTTTTAAGAGATACATGCTGACATATTCAGGAATTATGCCTTTTTAAAAAAAATAATGGTTCAGCCTCCAATTCTACCTACCTCACATACACATATGTGAACCAATCATCACAAAACATTAAGGATGAGCCTATACTATAGCTACACTGACTGGCCTACTATGCTACATGGTTTCCTATCCCAATGTGCTCTTAGATATTTTTGCCTAGACGGTCCCCTGATGAAGCCCACCCACCTCACCTCCCCCTTGCCCCCACCACCCATACCCCTACTCTGCTGAGCTGTCCCCCTTCAGAACTCAGCTTGTATGATACCTCTCACAGGCTTCCCCTGACACTCCGCCATGTGCCCAGGGCCTCCCTACCAGGTCAGGTCAAGCTCTGTACTTTTCCTTTAAGATACTTACCAACTGTGTGATTACATATTTAAAACTTCATTTTTTTGTTTGTTTTTAAGCATCAAACTAAAGGTCCAAACACAAGGGATCTGTTATCCCCAAATTTTCTAAACTAATTTTTTCCTTTAGGTTTGTCAATTTCCAACGAACGTAACTTAGGTGTCTGAAATTCTGGGAACTGAAGGCTATCTTGTCTCATTTTCTATCCCTTTATAAAGCAGGTTTGTGTTGACATTTGCACATTTCTCTCTGAGTTCCAGAGCCTTACACGATTGTTCAATGCCCGTGCTTCTCACTGTACTGTATCTCCATGTGGGTGACAGTCCTGTTTTTTTCATCACTGTTTATCTAGAACTTAGAAGGCATGAAGCAAAGAATCATTTTATTAAAATGAACAAGAAATTCTTACCAGAATTTTAAGTTTGAGGAATATAGAATGAGACAAAATAGCAGAAGAAATGGCAGATGATTTTGAAAACACAATAATCATACATAAAAGCTTGCTTTCCCTTTAAAGGAGAGTGGCCAAACAAATATTCTTGTCAAAAGCGTCTCTGAGAAGGGAAACCAAAAGCCTTTTGGTAGGGCTGACTAAAGGGTTTAAAGGAAGGCACTTTTGGAATCCCTGGTATTTTGCCTTGTTATTATGAAAAGGTATAGGGTTTTTAAAAACATGCCTTTAACAAATGTGTTAAATGTACAAGCAGGCTGTAATTTGTATGTCTCGCTGCCAGGCGGCCTGAACTACCAATGACACATGCATGACTGTACCACTAGCTGTGCAAGCTGCCCAGTGGGAGCCAGTCATGCGTGGGCTACCAGAGGTTCAGGCCAGTGGGAACGTGCAAAGTGTTTCTTTTCGTTTCATTCTCTGCTTGAATATTCTGTAGAACTCAGTAATTCCTCCAAGATTTTCCAGTAAAATCTTCTCAAGCCACAAGCATAAGAGTGTAAACAACAGCCCACATATTCTCTATCCTTTCCCGGAATCCACCAGTAATATCTTATGTCCCCCCACCCCTGCCATTTTTTCCCCTCCTTCTCCTTTTTTTTTTTTTTTGGTGGTGGTGATGGGGATTGAGCCCAGGCTCTGATGTATGCTAGGCAAATATCCTACCTCTAGGCCACACCCCCAGACCAAACGTTCCCTTTCTTAAAATCCTGTTTTGAAATGTTGAATTTTCCTCCATCCTACACTCTCAATCCTACTTGGTCAATACACCTAAATGCTTCAAAACTGTAAGGCCACCCCTCAAAATGCTAAGCAGTTCTTTCAATTAATGTACTCTAATATTTGTCAAGCAAATTGAGTGACTGTTTTTAAATATATCTTACATATAAAATATTACCAAATACTTCCTCTTAAGAGAATTACTCTTCTCAGTGGCCTAAGTTCTGGGCCCCGAAGGAATCATTTTCAAAGCAGAAGTCCCTTAACCTACGAGGAGTCAGCTTATCTTTCCAACGCTGTCAGTAAGGCAGACGTTCCTTCCCTTCAGACTTGTAAGCCTCTTGCCTACCATGACTTCCTCAAAAGGAGGCTCATCCTCAATAAACACTGTCCCTGGACAGCTCATCCGCTAGGAACACCTCCCTAAGGTCTCCATTACAGGGAAGTGGCCACCCAGCCACCACGGATGGTAAAAAGACAAAAAGCCTATCTTTAAATCTCACATTGCTTTATATTGGATGATTGCTTTATGAAAATTGGAGGGAGCAGGAAAGTTATAAAACCTAGTTACAAACAAAAGTGAAATTTAAGCCACTATTTTTGTTAAAGCAAAGCAAGTATCGGAGAACAAATCATTATGTGTTGAAAAATAGAATTACTATGTTAGACTGAATTGTTAGAATCCTCAGGTGAAAATTACAATCTCTAAAAACCCTTCAGCATTAAGTCCAACTTCTTACCTATTTAAATAAAGAATTTACTGATTCATTTATAAACAAGAATTCCATACACACACTGATATGGACATTTCCCGCAATGGAATTATGTACCTTTTGACGTCGTTTCTCTTTCCTTTTGTCTTCTGTGTCCTGTAGCATTTTTTCTTTCCAGAGGTCAAAGAAATAGGAAGGATCAGTATAGAACTTCAGCCCATCCTTCTTATCATCTCTGTGAATTAATATATTATAAATCAGGGGGGAAAGATGGTTAGATACTTTTATCTAACAATGGAAGGTTAATATTAAAATTTTAAATCAGGGGACATCTACATGGGGCATCCTCACTATCAAGTACATTATTCTCTAAATTTCCTTATTTGAAATGAACGTGGAAATATGCACAGACAGCAATCTGTTCTACATAAGTAGGATAAGATATTCTACTTAGAATGAAGTATAGGAAATCACTTTGAAAAAGTACAAGATGGCTTATAAAAATAAACAGCAAGTTTTAGTAGCTCAACTACTTCAGGAAACACATTATTCCAACAGGGGATGATACTCAAGAGATGGAAAATTCTTAGTACAGATACATTCTTTTCACTCTGGAGAGTAAATATTAAAGATAAAAACAAGTGAGGGCTCTGTCTCTTTTTAATCAGGCTTGCCCAATACAGTAGTACCTTAGTTCATGAACTTAATTCATTCCATGAATTCTGGAAAAGATAACATTCATGCTTATGCAGGAAAGATGGTGGTGATCATTTTCACCACTTGATGCAGAGTTTGCAAACAAAAACAAAATTTTGCCAAACACTTCTGTTTGTGTACCAAACTGTTCACAAATAAGTGTTCATGAACCAAGGCACCAGTGTATCTAATAAATTCAGCTGGGAAAGAAGCAAAACGCTCACTATGTATAAATGTGGCTAGGAAAGAAGTGTTGAGCTATGTATTTTCAAAGAGACTTTATTTACTTGTAAGTATTGCTATAGTTGCTATGGTCTAAAGAGTATTTCAAATTCTACAGAAGTTACTCATTTACCATATAACCAAAATTAATGTGGGGCCAGAGATTTAGCTCAGTGGTTCTGCTGCCTGGCTCGCAAGTGCAAGGTCCTGAGTTTGATTCCCGGTACCAAAAAAAAAAAAACCAAGAAAGATAAACATTTGGGCCGGGGATTTAACTCAGTGGTTTCACTGCCTGCTGCACAAGCGCAAGGACCCGAGTTCGATCCCCAGTACCAAAAAATAAAATAAAATAAAATACAATAATGTGACCGTTATGAATTAAAACGTAATATAACACAGTAGTAACATTCAAAACAATCATGATCCAAATAAAGTCTATCCCATTCATGTTTGAAAAAGTATGTGGCCTGTAGACCTCCGAAAAAGAAAGCAAAACATATACATTTCATATTAATATTTAGACAAGTAGTTTAGGGCACACAAAAGAAGCAAAATAATTAAATGAATATCAAGAGGAAAGAGTTTACAAACAAAGAAAGCTCAGGAAGGAAAAGCTGTCTCCTTCAGGTTCCTGCCTTGTTATCTCCTGCTGTGTACTCCTTACCATTAAACGCTAAGGGCCAGGTTCCTATGACAGCTATTCAAGTCACTGTGACTGAAAATCACTACTAACAAGCCACACAACTCACTATTTTTTAACCTTGGATTATTTAACATCTTTCTTTTTCTAGCTTCCCAATTTGTAAGCAAGCTGCATGACAGAGATTTTATTAATAAAATTATTGTGAAAAAGAGAATTTGTTTCCCCAAGACTCTAAAGCTTTCTGTACAGGTAAAGGTATAGAAAAACTGAGTGCGGAACTTATGGAAAAGTTTAGAAGATATAAATTAATGTTCTTTATGATGGCATTAACACTCTAATGAGGATGGAAATGTACTCAAGTAAACAAATGTTAATGTTGACAAAAGACCAAGCAGCTATGTCCTTTGTTTACTGCATCTAACCCCTTAACTTTTTAGCACTGTGACACTGTCATATTTAAGATTAAATGCAAAAGTTTACGTTTTGTGTACCCCAACTATTGCTGTATAAATGAATTTGAGCTGGCACTGCTATTCTTGAATACATTATTAAAAAGTCAAAGACATCTTTTATTTCCCATATAACTGAATGCACACATACACATATAAGGTTAAATCACTTTTCATGTCATTAAAATTTTTAAATCACTACACGTTTAATCATGATTTTGGTAAACCAAACATAAATGGCTCACTAGGTTTTCTGATTTTGTTTCTAAAGGAGAATTTTCAGTAAGCTTTCTTAGTAACTGTGTAGAAAACCTTAAACAAGCAAGCTCTCATGTCACAGTATGTATACTGAGGCTCCCAGCGCTAAGAAAAATTCAAACTTCCCTGGAAAAATGTCCAACACATGAAAGCAAATCACAAGTTGAAATGAAATGTTAGGTTCACAATGCTTCTATTCTCATGTGTTGTGAGCTTTCTAAATGTATGAACATCACCTCCAGGAAAGCAGGCTTGGGCCATAAAAAGGCAGGACTTCTTGCTTGTTCCCATCAGTTTCCAGGAGATCTTATATTTATTTGAGAGAATCTCTCTGTACACAAAGGAATGAAGTTTGAATTCCCCTTTACTGGCAGAACTACAATAAAGAGTAGCTCTAGACCTCTCCTTGTGAATCTTGAAAAAGGACAGGAAATTCTGTGGAAACCTCTGGCTACTCTCTGAGGAGCAGCAAAGGGCTTGCAGGCAGGGATGTCAGGGTGCAGTCAAAGGAGCAATGAACTCACAGGCTTATCAGCCAGCAAAGCTGACTGGGGCAAGGGCCACTGGCCACCACAGCCTATGCTCACAGAGGCTGGAGGAATGGACTCCAGACAGGGGAGAGGGACAAGCCCCACCACGGGGGACAAGGAGACAGCATAAGAAAGGGAGAGGAAAAGGTGGTGACAGCAGGCACTTGAAGAAACATTCTATGACGATGGGCAGCAGAAGGACATTTAACCAAGCATATTTCAGTGATCTCTTCATATTAATTTTTGCAATACTTATTTTCTATCCTTTTTCTTGGAAGTTTGGTCCTGAAAAGCGTATCTTACCATTTTAACAATAACAGAAGGTTAATCTGGTAATGCTACTTTCAATCTTAAAAAACACTGACACCATAGCATATATTTTTCTGAATTAAGTAACAAATGGCTGCAGTGCTGATGTACGGAGATAGGTACTTTAGTATTATAAATGAAACGTGCTATTCCTTTCCAACTGACTTTGAAAATAAAGAACATCAACATAAGTGCACACACTGCCATCATGTACATGTCCACTTCCACCTAAGATGCCCATATCTGAGAGCTAAAATCTGAGCTCCCACTTCTGCTAGTAAATGTACCTATATCTTAAAATACTAAAACTTTAATAGTTATTTATCACTGGCTACTTTAATGTGTACAATATTGCAATTACTGTTTTCAAAGATAGGAAGAACTCCTTTGAACCCAAATGAGCCACCAAAGACGTTCCTACCAATGGGTTAACCTGTTTCCAGCTCTCTCTACCTCTCCACCCACCCTCACTGAAAAGACTCTGGGGACCCCAAGAGGCATACCTGTAAGGGGTCAGGATGTTCAGAGGAGGCGGTTTATCACTCTGGTTGTAAATGTCAGCAACAGGATTAGGAATGCTGTTCTTTGAAACCACCTGCTGGTCTTGGATGGTGGAACTTTTGAAAGCTTTTTTCATGTTGATATCTTGTAGTGACACTATTTAGAGAAAAGTCCCCCATGTTGAGATACAAAGAAATATTTTTCACTACTTAGAAATAACTATCACTGGACTCACAACCCTAAAATCTCCGGGGATAACCAAACAGTGGTTTTTATTGTTTCTTTAAAACCATGCTTAAATAGAAGTTGACTCCTTTCTTCTTAGAGGTTAAGTTTTCTCGATGAGGTCAAATTCTTTTGTAGTGATCTAATTATTTCACTGAACCTAATAGCAGAATATCATTCTTTAAACAAATAGTACTTCTCCAGAGCCGGGGATTTAGCTCAGTGGTTCCATCGCCTGCCCCGCAAGTGCAAGGACCCAAGTTCGATCCCCGCTACCAGATAGATAGATAGATAGTACTTCTCCAAAATCACACAGAAATATAATTATAACAGACATGGCACTGGGGGGGGGGCGCCCCAACCAGTTAATATCACTTTAAGTATAATACCTAGGGAAAATACTTCTGCAAAATAACACAAATGCAAATAACATACTAAGGTTTTCCAACACTATTAAGGAAAGACAGCAAAGCTTTTCAACATACTTATAGTCCTAGAAATCAAGTAGTTTGATATATAAAACCAAAGAGGCAGGAAATCAGGGCTTGGTATACTTCTTTTATAACTCATCTGACCTTGACATAACTTTTGAGGTGGCAAATTGGTCCTATTAACCCACTTGGCTCAGCTACTGGAGCTATGATTGAGGGACATTAAGTGACATTTCCAAGATCTTCTGGCAAAAAAAAAAGTGAGTCCTAAACAGACCGCTGATTTCCTAGCTTTCAGTAAGGTTAAAATGTTGATTGGGAAGGAATTTTAAAGATATGACATGTACCATAAAATTTCCTAAATATTAACTTACAGATTAACCTTTTTCAGTGTAAAATTTATCTTAAATACTTCAAACTTTTAAAGCCAACAAAAAAAAAAAATCTAAGAAAAATAAATACTAAAAATCACTTGTGATACTGATTGAAAAAGTAAATGACTTAAGATGTTAAGAATTCCTTGTCTGGAAAACAAAAATTCCTTGTCTGAATAGATCAAGTAGCTATTTAATTTTTTTTCTAATTAAAAAATAAAATTTGGGCTGGGGATTTAGCTCAGTGGTTCTGGTGCCTGCCTTGCAAGTGCAAGGTCCTGAGTTTGATCCCCAGTACCAAAAAAAAATAATAAAATAAAATAAAAATCTGATTTAAAAGAACATGTCTTTATCTTCCTATTTATTGCTGGGAAACATCAGTAAGAATGTTCATAATAGGTATTAATAGTAATTTAATTTTGACCTTTGATAAAGACCTGAATATGAGTAAACATACCTTTTTTAAATGGTGAGGGATGAATCCCATAAGTAATTACTTTCTACTACCATATTGGTATAGCACAAAATTCAAGATGCTGGGACCCTTTCCAAGCACCAAGAAAAATTCTAACTAGTACTATATAAAGGGAAAAATAATTTGTAACCTGAATATTTTTCTCAAAGTAAATATGAAGTAGTATATCTCATCATTTTTAGATTTTTTTCCAGTCTAATTTCTGTCTCTCATTCAAGACTCTGAAAGTAAAACTTTTAAAATTGAATTTTTGATGGCTTAAATTTTGTTGAAACTGCCACACATTTCAGGGGATATCATCAAAATGAGTATCAGTTAACCTAAATAGTGCTGGTTCATATTAGTCTAAAGCTTGAAGCCTAAAGGCCTTTAGTGAATACTCTTTCTGAGAAGGTAAGTAAGATTTGGAAATGGACAGAATCAGCAAGATTATTCACAGACATCAACTCTAATAAGAACATCAGGTTGAAGTCTTCATTCTGTAGCATGGTATATACTATGATTCTCACTCTTAGTTGGGACTCTTTGGAGTGGTTCTATGATTTTTAAGTATGAAAGTATTTTTAAAGTAACTACCAATAACTCTATCAAGAGTTCTAATACTGAATGCACTGGAAGAAGTGTTTAATAAATACTGTATTTGTAATTTTTAACAAAATCATGGTGTACGAGGTAGATAAGATATGAATCTTTCCATCACTAATTTACCCAGTGTTGTAGAGCTCCTCACTATTCTTCCAGGGAAAGATAAGGCGAAATGTCTGCATACCACCCACGGAAAAAGCAGTGATAACACAATTAATTACTACCATCTTGTGGCCATCACTTCTAGTTCACTGCATTAATGCAATTACCTACCCTCTTCCACTGTGGAATCCAGCTGTGTGACTTTGACAGCGAGGCGATCAATTCTGTCTTGAAGAGAATTTGCTCTGATGTAGAAGTTATTAGCCTCATTAAATAACTCACCAAAAATGTCTTCAGCATGTTTGCCTGCAGAAGAGAAGGAACAGAGAACACCATCTGCTAAGGAGCTGCTGCTGTGGCCTCCACAAGGCCACGTCAATGCTTATTACTGTCAACACAAGGTCTGGTGCAAATGAGTGTAAAAATGAAGTGCCAAGGACCAAGGCTTTAGAACTTTTGAAATTCATTAACTATTCATGTGAATCTAAAGCTGACCCAAAGTGGTAGAATTTTAAAATATTCCAGGTGGTATAGAATCATTTTGCCTGAGCTGTCACTCAAGTTATATCCCACTAAATGGAACTTCTTTGGGAGAAAAAAGTTCTCATTTTACATGCTGTAAGTATAAATACAATCTTAGGAATTAACCTTCCTTTTATTTCTCAAGGTAATTCAATAAATCACACTGGCTTTCACTTCATTCACAATCAGAAACATGAGATATCTTACATCAAGCCTGATCCTTTCCAACAGCATCAAGTTCCTCTAATTAGTATTTGGAAACCTAGAGATAGAGTGCTGACTCTGGCACTCTAAAAGTCAGCATTTTTAATTTTGAGTTAATTTTTCTGCATGGCTCATTTCTACTTTTTTTTTTTTTTTTTTGGCAGTAGTAGGGATTGAACCCAGAACCTGTCCATTGGTCTACATCTCCAAACCTTTGGAAATTTTAAGACAGGGTCTCACTTAGTCATTTAGTCTGCCCTCAGCCTCCCAGAATTCTGGGATTGCAAGTATCTGTCACCACATCTAGCTTCACCTCTAAATTCTTATGAGTACTACATAAAACTTCTAGTTTTTAAAAATGTACTTTACATTTCTAAAAATGTAATAAGATAGGAATCCATATCTGCATATACTGAATTTTCAAATCCCAAAACCCTTCCATTACTCATTCAACAAATATTTAATAACTACCTACTTTGCATGTGCCAGGACTTAACTTCTCTTTTCATTTTCATTTTCTATTGGTTTCTTACTTGAGAAAGGGAACATAACATTTCTGGAAGGAAAGTTCCCTGGAACATGAGTAATGTGAGTGTTTCCTTGGTAATTCGTAGCTAATGAGGCAAGCTCAGAGCCAGTGTCCCTCCTTGCTGCTGGAACCCAAGAGGAAGATCCAGGCCCGTTTGTTCAAGGTGCAGCCCCAACCCCCCAGGAATGTCTCCTGCACACACCTGTTCAATGAAGGAACAAGTGAGTCCGGGAGGCCAACAAGGAGTTACGTTTTTATTTTCCAGATGATTAAACTGAAGATCAAAAAGATCAATCCGTTGGCTGCTCAGTGGCAGAAACAGATGAAACAAAAACTTGGCTGTCTAACGTTTAGTAGTTTTCTGTTTTCATCATACACCTCACTGAATTTCCTTGGTTGTAAAATACAGAACTACATGGCAGGTCCTCAAAGCATTAAATACAGAATTACCATATGATCCAGGACTTTCACTTCCAGATATGTATCTAAAAGAAGTGAAAATGGACTTGAGAAATTTGAACACTCATCTTCACAGAAGTATTATTCACAACAGCTAGCAGATGAAAGCAACTCACATCCATGGATAAACAAATGAGTATTATTCAGCCTTCAAAAGGCAGGAAATTCTGACATGCTACCACATGGGCAAGACTTGAGGACATTATGCTACATGAAACAAGTCAGTTAAAAAAAGACAAATACTGTATGAATTCATTCATATAAGGTACCTAGAGTAGGCAAGTTGATACAGACAGAAAGCTGAATGGTGGTCGTCAGAGGCTTGGGGAATAAGGGAATGAGGAATTGTTTAATGGGTACAGTTTCAATTCTACAAGATGAAAAAGTTTTGGAGATCTGTTGCACAACAGTGTGAACATACTTAACACTAATGAACTGTACACCTGTAATCATTAAAGACAGTAAATTTTATGTGATGTATATTTAACATAAAAATTTAAAAAGCTTGAGAAGAAAATCATAAAAATCCAGGATTCTGCACTGAAATAAACTCTTTCTTACTCTCTTTACCCAGCACACTGCCAATCTCTTTCTCTTTTCCTTATGTGACAAGTTTCCCCAGAAACACTTATTTTCAGCCATTCCAATAGCAAGTACACAGTAACATCAACCAGAAGAGAATTCCTCATTTCCACTCCTAAGCCTGCTCCTCTCACTACCTTCCACTCTTCTTCTTCTTCTTCAAGTTTATTGGTACACTTTAGGATCACATTCATCATTGGGAATTTGTACCTGTACAGGATACATATTGGTTCTTCTTTTTTCCCATTTCCCTTCCCTCCCTTCCACCCTTTTCCCCTCCCCATTTACAAAAAAACTTTGTTTCCATTTTTTTCTTCTTTTCTCATATTTTTTCTTACTTTTCCCCTACCCCCAACTCCCTACTCCCCCTTCCCTTTTGGACCTTTTCTTCTTACACATTTTGGGCCTCATTTACACTTTCAGTTTCTCACATCAGAGAAACCATTTGGTATTTACACATGTGTATGCTATTTATTTCACTTAAGAGTATGGCCTCAATGTGAATCGATTTAGCTATAAATGTCTCTAATTATCATTCTTTATAGCTGAGTAGTACTCCATTTTATAAAAAAAACAACCACCCACATCTTCTTTATCCACAGTGACTACTGCTGAGAACACTCTGTACTCTGCTACATGCTATATAAGCTATATAAGGCTAAATAATATGCATCCTATACCATCAATGCTTAATTCTATTTGAAAAGATTCATGTAACTGATACTATATTTCTACTTGGAAGTTTTTGATTTATAAAGAGATACAGAAATTAAAGATGCATAATTAATATTTTGCCACCTGCTGAATGCTGACAAGTGACTAAAAGGAATGGTCTGATGAACAAGAATAAGTGTTGCGGGCCGGGGATTTAGCTCAGTGGTTTCGCCACCTGCTGCACAAGTGCAAGGACCCGAGTTTGATCCCCGGTACAAAAAAAAAAAAAAAAAAAGAATAAGTGTTGCAATTACAGTGTTCAGTTTTGCAAACCAACAGATTTGAAAAGCTGACTTCTACTCTTTAAACGGCAAGTCCATTAGTAGCTAAACTAAAATAATCCTGAATTGAATTAATGACCACATGAAGGAAGTACAATTTATTCACTCATTACTGACAAAAAGATTCCAATTCTGGATTTATTAGTACCCTGTGAATTCGATCCCAAGTATACTAGGTTGAGAAGTGTGCCTCCAACTGCATAAATTAGAAATAATTAGCAGCTTTGAGAATGCTGCTTTAACTTCTGCAAGAAACTATGGCATACTTTCCCATCATTTTAGTGGTATGTACTGTCCCTAAAAATTAGTATTCTAATTTTAAAATTATGCATGGATTTTTAACTATATTTAAGCATGAAGACTTACTGGAAACAAAGTGTTTCCATGAACCCATTAACACAAGCCTAGCACCTAGTTCTTGGTTTGTCAAGATTATGGTTTTTTGGGCTAGGGATTTAGCTCAGTGGTTCCACTGCCTGCCTCCCAAGTACAAGGTCCCAAGTTCAATCCCCAATACCAAAAAAAAAAAAGATTATGGTTTTTCATTCTTCACCAAATGGAACAGACCCCTTGCAGAAATGAACTGACTCCAGGGCCAATGGTAGAAAATACAAGGTAGGCCTAGAATATATTGTTCTGCTAGAAAAAATGATGTGGATGTGCTTAAAGACTGGTGTGGGACATGTCATAAGGTAATTCAAGAGCCAGCCCAAAGAGACCCCCATTGGTCAAATCTGGGAAAATCGGTGCATCAAAATAAAAGCAAGGCAAGAGAGTATAATCTGTAGAATAAAATAATCATTAGTCCAAGATGATATAAGTGAGTGAATGAAAGTATTTATAAAGCAGAATGCCAAGTAATTATTGTTGAAAAGTTATGAAATGACAAAAATCACTCTGCAACCACCACAACGGTAACATTTTCAGGGAAGAAGCATCAATGGATTCTGAGAATAGCAGAATGAAGAAATGGGATGGGAAAGAGGGCATTTAACAGTCTAGTGTCTCCTCTTAAGACACAGTACTTACATTAGAGAAACCTACAGTAATCAAACTGATGGAAGGCAGCAACACACCAGGTCATGGGACAAGCAGATTCTAGTGTTTCCTGATAAAACACATCAAGGAAGGCACAGTACCACCTGTGATACTTCTGTCAATATCTTACACTTAATCACGGAGAGATGTTAGAAAATCCAGACCAAGTGACATTCCACACACAAAAAAGGCTGGTTTCCTTTACTGTCAAGATCATGAAAGACAGAGGAACTATTTCAGATTAAAGGAGACTAGAAGAGACAATTTTATACATACATATATATGGGCAACAGGCGGCGAAACCACCCACATGCATACATATGGGGAAGTGAAAAGGTAGGGAAGAGTCTCTGACAAAAAGAAAAAATGTAATAAATAATATCTGAGAAATCCGGGAGTTTACTGAAATTCTTGATACTGTTTTTGATCTGTTTGTAAATCAGAAATCATTTCAAAGTAAAGATTAAAAAAGAACCTTAACATAGTATGTGTAATAATATGCAGTTGCTACTGAACTCCATAAAATAAAATACCATAATTACTGGAACATTGTTTCCTTCTCTTTTTAAATCTTTATTTTCTATGAAAAGCAATACATGTTTACTATAAGAAACAGAAAACTATAGGAAAGTAAACAATAGGAAAAATGCCCCAAAGTCCAATCAAAGACATCTGATGCTAATACTCTGATTTAAAAGGTAATACAGTGGTGCCTTGGTTCACAAACTTCATTTGTTCTATGATTTTGGAAAAGATGGCCACGTTTGTGTTTGTGTGGGAAAGATGGCCATGGTCATGTCTGCCACCCAATGCAGAGTCTGCAAACAAAATCAAAATTTTGTCAAATGCTTCTGTTTGTGAACCAAGGTACCACTGTGCATGTTCACAGTAGAAAATGTGGAAAACTCAAAAAGTAAAATGTCAGCCAGTTATTTACAGTGAACTGGTTTTGGTCCTTCTTTACAATAGTCTAAGAA